TCCACCTTTTTAAGTGTTTCCATGAGATTTGGGTTGTAATAAAGAAGAAAAATGCAAGAAATGAAAAAAAAAAAAAAAAAAAAAAGAGGTTCCTCCAGCAGGGTTCGAACCCAAAATCCTTGGTTTGAAAGGCAGGTGCGCTAACCATTAGGCCACGCACTCCGATGAAGATGGAGGTAGTAAATATGTTGTTTAGGAATAAATAGGAATATAAGAGCACGTGTCCTTTTGTTTGTTGTCCAATGTAGTAATCAGTAATAAATTGTTTTGAGAAACACGATTGGTGTATAATAAAAAAGCAGATTTTCTGTAAAAATAATTTATTTGAGTTGGTTTATACTCTAAATCAATGGAGTTAATCACCTAGAGCCGAGACTTTGTTTACGAATTTATGAAAAATGTCGCGTTCGGTTTGACCGAATATGGTGATTCAAAATAATAGGTCCGATTTAATAAATATCTCCATGTGGGTTGAATTAAATGTAACTAGCATAAATTAAATTTCAGACATGCATTTCAGGAAGAAAAAAAAAGGTGTCAATGAGAGCGTGGAAATTTATTTGATAGGAAAAATCGCTATTTTCGAGACTCATTCCATTAACATTAAATCTAAATAAAATTGAAATAAATCCCACATACTAAAGAAATCAAGAATGCTTGGTATTAAAATATTGTATTAGAGCAGGAGAATCGAATGCTATTAATAACAACTGAAGAAATAGCCGATAAAAGCTTAAATTCATTTTTATGCTCATCAGCACCTAAATTTCAGATAGAAAAAAAAAATGTAGTATTTGCCGAAAACATTCATAATTTCGTTACACTTCAGAGACTCACCGTAAAACTTTCAGGAAACTTTCTTTGAGGTCTTTTCTGCAGTTTCTTAAAATCTTATGTCGATCCGAGGTGTATGAGTTTTAGAGAAATTTTCTACGTTGCTATTGATTTTTTTTTTTTTCAAAAGGGGGGGGGGGGTTGAGGAGAATTATTTATTTATTTATTCCTAACATTTTTAGAAGTAAGAGTTGTAGCAACCTCCACGAACTTAATCTTGATTGTGACCTTTGGATCAAAGGTCAAGGTCAAAGGTCAAGGTCATTTAAAAAAAAAAAAAAAAAAAAAAAAAAAAAAAAAAAAAAACAACAACAACTTTGCTTTAAACTGAGTTCAACACTGAAATGTACATGAATCTAGATGCATGTTCTGAATTTTTTTTACCCTTGAGTCAGTGTCAAGGTCAAAGGTTAAAGGTCAAGGTCAAAGGTCAAGGTCATTTAAATAAATAGCTGATATCAACAATTTATATAGTTTTCAATGACCTTGACCTTTGACCTTGACCTACATTTCAAGGTCAAAGGTCAAACATGCCCATGCAGTTGGTTCCATGTCTCTAGGTTAGACCCTTTGAAAAAAAGTTCATTAAATGTAAGCAGCGAAAACTTTCAGGGACAGTAACTCATAGAAGGGGCCGAAGAACCCTTTCGCACTGTATAGATTGAAGAGTGTACTAAATGAGTCGAAGACACTGATGAAGGTTTGGAATCTCTACGCTTTACGGTTTCAGAGGAGTAGCGATAACAAGGTTTCATTGCGAAAGGGGTGACAACTTTTGAATGGGTCAAGCTTGGGGAACAAGAATGAAATCTTTAAAATAGTTTTAGAAGGACAAATTAAAGATGCAAAGATATGTAGTATATGTTGAAAGACAAAAGAGCTATAAAAAGAGTTAATTTTCTTATATTTTGAATGACCTTGACCTTTGACCTTGACCTTAACTTCAAGGTATAAGGTCAAAGAATCTTATGCAGTTGGTCCTATTTCTTGACGACTTATCATCAAGAAAATTTTTCATTATTCGTAAACACCAAAAAAATCTCAGGGGCGATAACTTATTAAAGGGCTCGACAAATCATTTCACAATGAAAAGATTGAAAAGTCCTCTCAAGTAGTCGAAAACATTGGTAATGGTTTCGAACCTCTGCGGTTTATGATTTCGAAGGAGTAGCGATAACAATGTTTTTCGTTCAAAGGGCAAGAACTCCGAAAGGGGTCATAGGTCATACTCGTTGGGTAGTTTTTCGAAATAACTTTTGATGTCGAGTATCATGAACTATAAAGTTCTTCGAAAAGTCTTTCGGTTCAAAAGGCGGTAACGGAAAAATAATAATAATAATAATAAACATAAGCATTTCAATAGGTCTTTCCACAGAAAGGTGGAAAGACCTAATAAACATAAGCATTTCAAGAGGTCTTTCCACAGAAAGGTGGAAAGACCTAATAATAACTAGGAGACTAATTGTTCAGAGAACAATTAGAGGCCTTTCCACCTTTTTAAGTGTTTCCGTGTCATTTGGGTTGAAAAAAAGGAGAAAAATGCAAAATATGCAAAAAAAAAAAAAAAAAAAAAAAAAAAATGCTCCTCCGGCTGGGTTCGAACTCAAAACCCTTGGGTTGCAAGGCAGGTGCGCTAACCATTCGGCCACGCATTCCGATAACATACGTAAGTTAATTGTTTAAGACTATAGAAGAAATGCAAGCGTATTTTTGGAATCGGTAGGGGAAGAAAGAAGTTCCGTAAAAGGAAATAGTTCCTGAATTTGCAAGCAGTATATGGAATAGTAAGGGACGGGCTGCGTGAGAAAACGTTAACACTGTTCCCTAATGAAAATGTATTAATGGACTGTAGCCCGATTCATCGATATTGTGAGCATGCTGAATTTTTTGTAAATAGCTTCGTTGTAAGCTTAAAAGATCGGGTTCGGATTTTAACATTTCTGACTGAATATCCTGAAATAAATATGAAACATTTAAATAAGCATTTCTTTGGGTTTAATTAAATATGTGTAGCCCAAATTAAATTCCCAACATTCAGTTTTAGAAGGGAAAGACGACAATGAAAGCGAGAATAGTTTTTAATATACCGAAAATCGCTATTTCTGGAAACTGATTAATTCTAAATAAAAATCAAATAAATTCCAAATGTAACAGAAAGAGAGAATGCTTGGTATTAAAATGTCGTATCATATCAGGAGAATTAAATGCTACTAACGACATCTGAAGAAATAGCCGATAAAAGGTTTAGATCATTTCTTCGTTCACCTGCACTTAAATTTCAAACACAACAGAACTTGTAGTTTTTGCCGTGAAACTTCAAGACTTCTATAAACTTATATGACTCACCGTAAAACTCTCCAGAAAGTTTCTCTGAGGTTTATACTACATTTGTACCAAATTTGGTGTCGATCCGAGGTCTGGTTTGAATTCTAGAGTAATATTCTACATTGTTGTTGATGTGATTTTTTTTTTTTTAAGAAGGGGGGGTGAATTATTTATTTTATGCCTCTTTTACACTAAGAATTGTAACTACTTCCACATCCTTAAGCCTTATTGTGACCTTTGAGTCAAGGTCAAAGGTCAAGGGTCAAGGTCATTCAAAAAAAAAAAAAAAAAAAGAAAGAAATCTTTACTTTCTGTATTTTTACCTGATACTGGAGCTGGATGCATGTCCTAACTTTTCTATTTGACCCAATGTCAAGGTCAAAGGTCAAGGTCAAAGCTCAAGGTCATTTGGTGAATTGCTATATTTTACACATATATAAGGGATTTCTTATGTTTTTAAATGACCTTGACCTTTGACCTTGACCTATATTTCAAGGTCAAAGGTCAAATATGCCGAAGCAGTTGGTACCATGTCTCTAGGATACACCGTTTTAAAAATAAGTTCATTAAATGTAAGTAGCGTAAACTTTCAGGGGCAGTAACTCATACAAGGGTCCAAAGAATGCTTTTGCAATGATAGAATGAAGAGAGTACTAAATGAGTCGAAGACACTGATGAAGGTTTGGAATCTCTACGGTTTACGGTTTCGGAGGAGTAGCGATAACAAGGTTTTGTTGCAAAAGGGGTGACAACTTTTGAATGGGTCAAGCTCGGGGGACTAGAATGAATTCTTTGAAATAGTTTTAGAAGGACATATTATAGATGCAAAGATATTCAGTATGTGTTGAAAGACAAAAGAGATATAAAAAAAAGCTAATTTTCTCATATTTTGAATGACCTTGACCTTTGACCTTCACAAAAATTTCAAGGTCAGAGGTCACAAAATCTAATGCAGTTGGTCCCATGTCTTTACGACTTATTGTTTAGAGAATTTTGTCATTATTCGTAAACATCAAAAACTCTCAGGGGCAGCAATTTATTAAAGGGCTCGACAAATCGTTTCGCAATGAAAAGATTGAAAAGTCCTCTCGAGTAGTCGAAAACATTGGTGAAGGTTCTGTACCTCTACGGTTTATGGTTTCGAAGGAGTAGCGATAACAGGCTATTCTTGCGAAAGGGGCAATAACTTCGTAAGAGGTCATGGGTCAAACACGGGGGGTCGTTTTTTGAAATAACTTTTAATGTCCAGTATCATGAACTATAAAGTTTTTCGATAAGTCTTGTGGTTTCAAAAGTCCGGGAAGAAAAAAAATAATAATAATAAACATAAGCATTTCAAGAGGTCTTTCCACAGAAAGGTGGAAAGACCTAATAATAATAATAATAAACAGAAGAAAATCAATAGGTCTTTCCACAGAAAGGTGGAAAGACCTAATAATATTTCAAACCTAGTCATGATACATTTGTTAAGAGTGATACTAGATTATAGTAGAACATAAGTTGAAGGTATGTGGAGGACCCTAAAATCTGTTGAAAACATGGAATTTAGTCTTTTTGACAATAAGAGGTTTTTTTTACAGGTACATAATAACTGAGATGAGTGGTGTGGCCCACAGGTCTCTTCTTAATGAATAGGTACCTTATTTGTTTTTGGATGTTCAACATACAAAAACTTGGAATGGTCTGATTCTACGAATGTTTCTACATTTTCTCAAGCAACAAATTAAATACAATGATCAGAATTGAATATTTCTTTTTTCTAGACTAACACATTCTTCTCTCATAGAATATAAATGTAAGACATGTAGTTATTTCATGTTTAATGATGCATAATTATGTACCTGCGAGACAGATGTGGAATCCAAGTGCACTAATGGACATAGGGAAATTGGAGACATTGATTCCAATCTTCATCCACTGCAAAAGAACACACTATATGTGTATTTGAAAAAACTTGCTGTTGATTTTAATACAGCCAAAACCTACCTTACCAGCATATATAAATTGGGAAGACTCTAAATGAACATATATGTATTAGCCTTATTAAATGACTACAAAGTAACACCAGACATCAAGCAAATTTCTCAGAAGTCACATTTTAAGACCCAAAGTCTGTGTTAGATGTTTATTAACTTCAGCCTAAAATGTGGGCAAGATAAAAGCATTCATCTCATCCAAAGATGCACATCTCTTTTTTTGTTTTTGTTTTGGATACCCCATTAAATAACATGAAAACTGATTTTAACATAGAGTTAAGTCTTACCAACAATAAGAGAATAAGAACAGGGGCCAGGACCAGGGCAGTGAATACTGTGGATACAGCTGCTGGGGGTCGCTTCTCTGGCTCACGGAACATGTGCTGAAAGACAGGAATTCTATCAAAAACAATCAAATACTAACCTTATAACTCTATCACGTACACCTGGAGATTTCAACAATCATGATAAAGTCTTAGACCTGTTTTCAAGCTTATCAATGGTAAACATAAATGATAGTAACACAGTTTTCCCATAGATTTTACAAATTAGTAGAGATGGATGAACATACTGTACACGTTTTTTCCCCTTTAACACTCTCAGATGATTTTACTTCGTTTTAAATTCGCCCAGACACATTTGCTAGAAATAACCATTTTCTTTGAATTTGCCCCATTCGCCAACTTGCAATGAGGGTGAAGAAAAAATAAAATAGAGACAAAAATATTCCAGCATACAGTATTAAACTAATGAAAATTCTTTCCTGAACAAGTTTTTCTAGTAATAATGCTACAACTTTCTCACTTCTACCTTGATTTCTGGTTTCTTTGCATAGCGATCAGCTGGCTTCTCTTTTGGTGCCTGGCCCTCTGGGAAGTGAAGGCTAACCTCACCCTGCCAGAACAAATGATATGAAGGTTAAGTAGGAACTCTTCAGAGTCCAAGTTAGAAATGTTACTGATAGTTGAGAAAAACAGAAAAGGAATTTCAAAGGTAATGTAAAAAGAATGTACACTGTATGGTTTTTCTCCCCAGTCATCATCACAAAGTGACATCTGAGAAGGTGATGGAATATACAGGGTCCTGTCCACACCTGACCCCCAGGGGTCAGGGGACAAGGTTACTCTCCAATGATGTGGAAAGGGAATATACCTCAAGTCTCCAAGGAGACATTCAGCTCCCATATGCCACACAGACAACTTCCCCCATAGTCAGACAGAGCTGGGGGGAAGTGTCAACATTGGTATAGAAATTAATAGTAGTCTGTTAATGTTAGAATCAAATATTTCACTTACAATGACCCAAGAGAATGGATTCTCAATAACAGCATCCCCAATGATCAGTTCCATGCTGTATTTTCCAGAGAGATATCCAAACTGACTAGAACTGCTTCCAATATCCTAAATGAAATATTCACATTATATTTTTCATTAAAAAAAATAAGGCCAGCTCTTACTTTATTTCAAACAAAGAAATTCAAGACTACTTTGTCATTATCCAATAATAAATGCCTGTTCCTAAAATCTTACCAAATCGAACTTGTTGCTGTCTGCATCAGCAACAAAAATGATTTCCTGGTTTGTCTCCTTGTTAGTGAGTTTCAGGAAGGTCTGAAAAATAAAACATTTATATGAATAATGACCCCTCTGCTGAATCTCTCTTTAGTCTGCCATCTTTTTAAATTTATCAGCAAAGTGAAAATATTTGATCAAGATGACTCCTTGCTGTACTGTAATGTTAATGTCCCACCTGATGAGCAGACATCATGCTGCCATCAGCTTTATCCTTCAGCTGGAACTTTAGGATTATCTTCTGATGGTAGTCAGCCTCAAATACATTTGAAGCCTTGTTTGGGAACTGAAGTCTGAAACATAACAAAAAGCTTCATGATTTTTGTATGAATTATTTTTCTGTGGGGTTCTTATGTTAGTCTGTTAATTCTGTACCCTGTATGGTTTTTCTCCCCAGTCATCATCACAGAGTGACATCTGAGAAGGTGATGGAATATACAGGGTCCTGCCCACACCCGACCCCCAGGGGTCAGGGGACAAGGTTACTCTCCAATGATGTGGAAAGGGAATATACCTCAAGTCTCCAAGGAGACATTCAGCTCCCATACGCCACACAGACAACTTCCCCCACAGTCAAACAGAGTCCAGCTGGGGGGAAGTGTCAACATTGGAAAAATACTTTTTAATACCTCAAATGTTTTTTTTTTAAAGTGCACACTTTCTGGACTTACATTTCAAAAGATTTTTTTGAGCATAAAAAAGTAAATGTGGAACCCACATCCATTTCCCAGTTATAAAGAATTTTGAGACATTCATATTTCCTATACATGAATTACTCTTGTTTAGTAACAGAGTGCTTACTTAGTGGTTCTTGCTGCTGTTGTTTGGTCTTTATCTGCTACACCTATCTCTGCATTCTCAATGGAAACTTGCGTAGTCACCTTTACTTCAACCTGTAAATGCCAAAAGGACTTCAAGAATTCATTCCAAAATTCCACAAAAAAAAAAGGAGATTATGAAACACTTATGCCCCCCCCCCCCCCCACAAATAATTGAAATTTTTCAAAGTCCAAGGGGCATAACTCTGTCAATAATTGCTCAATTGTACCCAAAACAGATTTGACCTAGATATTCTTATGATAAATCTGTATACCAAATTTCATTTCAGTATGTGCAACCTCTGCTAAGAAAATGAATGGAAACTGTTAGTAGACCGACAGACAGACAGCAGCAAAGCAATATGCCCTCCCTTCTTCGAAGGGGAGCATAAAAATGTTATTACATGTATAAGCATTGCAAAAATATGTTTGGAGACTCACACACTGTAAAAAGCAAAATGCATAACAACGTTTCGGTGCCTCCATATAATGTCCCTGATTTTTTCTTTACACAAAGAGCTGTTTTCTCTGTGTAACAAATGTCTACCTCAGGGAATTTCTTAACAAAGTTTAGAAATGTTATTGGTACTTGAGAAAACACAAAAGGAACATCAAAGGTAATGTAAATAGAATGTACCCTGTATGGTTTTTCTCCCCAGTCATCATCACAGAGTGACATCTAAGAAGGTGATGGAATATACAGGGTCCTGTCCACACCTGACCCCCAGGGGTCAGGGGACAAGGTTACTCTCCAATGATGTGGAAAGGGAATATACCTCAAGTCTCCAAGGAGACATTTAGCTCCCATACGCCACACAGACAACTTCCCCCCCAGTCAGACAGAGTCCAGCTGGGGGGAAGTGTCAACATTGAGTAAATTTGTGCGAGTGTTGGGGGTTGGGAAGGGAGATGGGATTAAGGTAAATCTCTACTTTAAATGTAAAGTGAATTTACAAAGCACTTACACAATTAGGTGAGTCCTTTTGCTCTAATCCAAAATTTTATGTTAATTCTCATTAACAAATAGTGAATATTTTTTAAAAAATGAGTAGAATATAAAACACGATATTAACATGTGTTTTCCAATTTTTGCCTATTTTCACTTCTTCCATGTGTAAAATCATAAAAAATCATAACCATGGCTTATTCTGTGTGAAACTTAATCTTCCAAGAACATGTCAGACAATTTTAACAAACAAATCTGTCCCCGTTCTAGGATCCTGGACTTGAAAATTCACTTTTTACCAATGTATCAAGACTATCAACATCTTTTATACATGTACCTCCTTCTAAATTGTTTCTACATCAATTTGTCAGCATAGTATTTTAAACATAGACTGTACCCTGTATGGTTTTTCTCCCCAGTCATCATCACAAAGTGACATCTGAGAAGGTGATGGAATATACAGGGTCCTGCCCACACCCGACCCCCAGGGGTCAGGGGACAAGGTTACTCTCCAATGATGTGGAAAGGGAATATACCTCAAGTCTCCAAGGAGACATTTAGCTCCCATACGCCACACAGACAACTTCCTCCACAGTCAGACAGAGTCCAGCTGGGGGGAAGTGTCATCATTGGGTTAAACTATCTACAGTTCTCAGTTTACCCATGGGCTTGCTAGCCAAGAGTTAAATTAATTCAAAGTTCACTAAGTTCAGCCAACCCTATATTAATTATAGTTCAAGCCAACCTTATATTAATCACTACATTTTTTTTATAGCCCTGCTACAAAATGTTGCTATCTTGGGTTACAGGGCTGATTTAAATTTTGAAGAGTTTTTCTTCTGTAATATTACCTGAGCTCCAGTCAGGCCTAGTAATTTCTTGTCCTCTTTGCTGGGTTTAGCACTAATAGTAAGTTTGTAGAAGCCGCGGACAGGTTTAGCCTGCATGAAGTTAAGTTCATATGTCGAGCTGAAAAATCATAATGACACCTCAGACCAATGAAACTAAAGACAATCCGAATGTTATACATTTTATGTCATATACTGTAGACGTACATTTTTCTGCATCGGATTAATTTATGCCATGTACATGGTCACAAATTTTCTGTGGAAATTTGTCACATAATGTTTAAATTGCATTTGAGACATACAATGGCTATCCAAAAAATCTGCATAATTTTCTACCTATGGACTGAACAGAAATGGCAATTCTACGGAAATTATGACCCCATGAAAAAAGGACATTTACAGTGCATGTACTTTTCAAAATATGGCACCTGAGTGTTCTTTATCAAAATAATTATAAAATACATGATCAGGTCTTGAATTTACACTGAAACAATGATTTTACCATTTTCCACAATGTACACGCATTCAATTTTTTCTTTCTTTAGTCACACTAATTTTGTGACACAAGACTATCATAACAAAACAATCTTGTGATAAAAATCTTGTGATAAAATCATTTGCACCAATAACCTTATTATTTTCCTCAAAAAGATATTATAAAATGAACATTTTCTTACCTATCTTTTGCAGTAAATGGTTTTTTGCTTAGTACAATGGCTTCACTGCCGATATGTTTGGCACTGTCTGCCGTCACTGTTAATGAACCAATGCTTCCACCCAACAGATTGGTCACTTTAATCTTAAAAATACAAGGTACTCATTTCTGTGAAAACCATTTCCAAAACTAAATGTTATTCTTTACCTCCAAGACTGGAGTCAACTTTATTGAATTGTACCCTGTATGGTTTTTCTCCCCAGTCATCATCACAAAGTGACATCTGAGAAGGTGATGGAATATACAGGGTCCTGCCCTGTCCCGACCCCAAGGGGTCAGGGGACAAGGTTACTCTCCAATGATGTGGAAAGGGAATATACCTCAAGTCTCCAAGGAAACATTCAGCTCCCATACCCCACACAGACAACTTCCTCCACAGTCAGACAGAGTCCATCTGGGGGGAAGTGTCAACATTGGGTGGATTTTAGTTTTAAAATAAGTCCAATCAAGCAATGTTAACATTGACTTTAATATTTCCACTCATACTTACAAATATTTTTTTCCCATAGAGAAGAGTTAAATATTTTTATGTAAATTAATTTTGTTGACTTAGGTAACATACCTGTACATTTGGTGATGATGAAGTAACTGCAACTGGACTTGCCAGTGTAATGGCTACAGGGATGTGGAACTAAAATTGATTTAAAATACAAAAGAAGAAAATATACACTTTTTTAAACAAGTACTCATAATAGATGATGTTATTTAATTTACTTTGACGAAAAAGTAGGATTGAATACACTTTTCAAAAATTCCCTTTTAATATCAGTATTAGGACTAACTGGATTATCAGTGAGGGTCTTGATAACAGAGACTAGTTGGTAAGCTGCTCTCAGCTGGTGAACATGTTTTCTGCTCAAAAAGTAGTTGGCAAACTTGACAACTTTGTCCTGTTCAATAAAATAAAGGTTTATTAAATTAAACAAATACAACATCCTGGTAATACTCAAAGCAAGTCATTTCTTCGTATAAATGTAGTTTCAATTTTGTCTTGTTTTCACATCTTCTTCCACAGTATGAATAAGAATCAATACCATGGCTTATTCTGTGTGAAACTTGATCTTCCAGCAACATGTCAGACAATATGGCAATCAAAATTGTCATCAATAAAAAGTTACTGGGTTACTCAACAGTATCTGAATATCTATTTTTGTCTGTTTTTAATTCAATCTAATGAATTATTGATGTTCATAAAATTATGCCTAAATAAAACAGTTTGACACGTACATCTGACATTGTTGGTGCCTTCTTCTCTTTGACTGCCAGTTGGTATGCTCCATCTACAACTACAGCCGTGGTGTAAAGCCCTCCTTCAAACTGTAAGGACAGGAAAAAAACTTGCAATACCAGAAGGAAAGTGGTGGTTATAAGAATAAATGATTGTGATGACTTTGATAATGCAAAAAACACATTTCGTCATTCTCAGTGATTAGTGTAAGTCAATTTTAAACAAAAAATTCAAAATGAGAATTGTAAATTCATCTTGTACATGTGCATAACAGAACTAGTTTAATTGTACATAAAAATAGACAAAATATGATGAAACCTATCACAATAAATCAGTGGTGAATGATACACATTTAAGTATAGATAAATTATGTTGTACCCTGTATGGTTTTTCTCCCCAGTCATCATCACAGAGTGACATCTGAGAAGGTGATGGAATATACAGGGTCCTGTCCACACCTGACCCCCAGGGGTCAGGGGACAAGGTTACTCTCCAATGATGTGGAAAGGGAATATACCTCAAGTCTCCAAGGAGACATTCAGCTCCCATATGCCACATAGACAACTTCCCCCACAGTCAGACAGAGTCCAGCTGGGGGGAAGTGTCAACATTGGGTCAATAAGAGTCAATTTTTTTTCTCATACTTACTTGTAAATATTTATCATCTACTTCATCAGCCTGTGCAATGATATCTTCAATGCTATCAAATATTTTCTTTGTGTCTCCAGTTAACTGAGAGGCAACAAAGAATCCATAGCCAGCACTGAAATAGGAATATTATATACATGTTCTATTTACAGACTTACCCATCACAAAACAGAACTGCTTTCAATTTCTGAATGCTAATATCATAAATTATTTTTTCTTAAAAAATATACAACATTGGCAACAGTGATTATATACTAAAATAGTTCAATAATATTGAAATTAAAAAAAAAAATTAAAAACCTTAAAGGTGAATCATCCTTTTTAAGTGCCTCTGTTAATGCTGATGTAACTTTAGCATTATCAACTGCAAAAAGAGAAATCATAAAATTCTTAATGAATAGATCAATGTCATTATTGGATTTCAGACCACAACACTGAACAAATGGATAGGAATGTATCACTAAAGTGTTTATGTTTATTAGATCTTGAAAACTGTTGATGACGATGTGTAGAATAACATACCTTGTAAACCTAGGTTTTTTAAAGCAGAGAATGCATAGAAGATATCAGCCACAGGAACGGAGTCCTTGATGGCATCACTCAGCACTTTCTGAGCTTCTCCTACAGGAAACTGAAAGGAAATTCAAAATCAATTGACCAGCTTTGAAATTCTGAAGATATGATAGGCCCCAGAATCCCACATTACGGTGTGTCAAATCATATACTGAGTGAATTTATCACCATTTTTTTTATTGAAATCTTTCATATTCTTACTCATTAAATATTTAAGCAATTTTTTTAATGTAAAATATTTATTCACAAGTTTCAGTGATGCATAACATTTAAAAATTTAAAACTTAAACATATTTAACAACTACATATAATTTCAGGCTGGAAAAAAGTTTTTAATTTGCAAGCTCACCTTGCAGTTGCCTACACCTTTGGCTGCAGCAGATGCATGATACAATGAGGCTACACTCTTATTATCTACTAATCTTGTTATAGTGCTGCATATTTCCTGGAAAAAAAAAATTATTGATTAACAATTTTGAGTAATCAGGATGCTCATTCTTCAAATATAACTGTGGTTTCATTAATTTTTATAAGGATCAAATTTTGTGGTTTTGATACAAAATGCGATTTTTTTCTAAAGATGCAAATTCTTGAACAGGTACACTCATCCTATGGTCAAACCTTGTTATCTCGAACTCAATGGGACTGAGAAAAACTTTGAGATATCAGACAATTCAAGATATCGAGGGTAAAACAGATAACATGTGGTTGAGACTTCCAAATCCCTTTGACATATCCATGGTAATTGAGATATCAGTGTTCAAGATACCTAAGTTCAGCTGTATGTACAGTCGTTTGACCAGTTCCGAATTTTGTTCAGTTCTGAATAATTAATAATTCAAGAGCTGATAATTAATAAATTCAAAAGTGTAAACATAAATTCATACCTATGGTATGAAGGCACATCTATGAGTGTTAGAATTATGTGAAGTTTTGATTTTTTGCCGTCAGTTTGTGTTCGCTACTGTACTTGAAACAGGCCACATACTTTAACAATGCAACAAATCTGAATCACCCCGACACATTTATCTGCAGAAAAATGTCTGTAAAGATGTCAATTTTTCACATAAAACAACATTTCATCTATCAAAAGTAAGTTTGGTATGTATTTTAACAAATACCAAAAGTTTGTCGAAAAATAAATAATTAGATCACTGGAATATATTGGAATATTTTTGTGTTGTCATTTTACTAGTTCCAAATACCCATTATAAACACTATATAAAAGTTAGTTTTCTGTAATTTCTTCATTGTAAATGTGACTGTTATTTCTCTTTATCCTTTGAAAATACCACTTACTTACTGGTAAGCATTTATTTTAACTTTTCCTAGGCATGTCAATCGATAATGTGTGGGACGGATATTTTTAATTTAGGGTCGAATTGCATGGGAACTGCTAAGGTATTCGGAACTCGTCGGCTCATTCTTAACTAGAAAATGAGTACACATGTTAACTTAATTGCTATGGCCAAAAAAAATAATAGTCTTGTTTCCTGCTACCCGACCTACCCTATTTTTTAGCCCCCGACCCTAAAGTTTTTTTTTAAGTTTTGGAAGAAAAAAAATCGGGAATTTCTGGAATTTCATTGTTCTGTCACCGTAATCAGTTTCCGTGTTAACACAAAACAAGCATTTCATGAAATTCTTGTTTTAAATATGGACTTTCATAAAATACCACTTGAGTTGTGCATAAAAAGAGATCAAATTTAATTTTAAAAGACAACGTTGACCTGTGACATGTTTAATTTGATCTTGTATTAGTTCATATCCAAAAAAATGCTGTCGGAAAAAAATAAAATAAAAATATAAAATAAAATAATTTTCCTACCTACCTACCCTATTTTTTTCAGGCCGGTAGCAAGAAACAAGACTATTATTTTTTTGGGCCTAAAATAAATAGTTTTTTTGAAAGGCTGAAATTTTATGGAACAACATTTATTTCCTCAAGCCATTGAACTACTTTGACAAACAACTTAGTTTTTGAAATAATGCCGTCATATATGTAGCACCACCAAATCGGTTCCTTATTTGCAACTGGGCAAATAACTGTAGTTTATTGATCACCTAATTTCATGGTTTGGTTCAACAAAGAAAAACAACAAATAACTGGTGTTATCGAAAAATTATGAAACCACAGTACAAGGTATTATATTGTCTAGAATAAATTTACCACAATAATTTAATAAAGAGTAACTGACCTTATTATTAATGCTGGTATCCCCCAGCAATTTCAGCCCAAGTATTGAGTAATGGACTGTGGGTAAATCTGTGTAGGGTGTGGTTGACTGGAACACTTTCTTCAGTCTTTCTTGGTCTATCGTTGTAAGGAATGTTGAAGGTGTGAGGGCTTGACCAACAACAGCCACCGCAAACAAATATAATATTGGCGTCACTGAAAAAGAAAAAAATCTCCTAATGAGCAATTCATTTTCATTTTTCTGAAAATCACCTCTAGTAACATCAATATTGGGAAACATATAGCTTGGATTTTTTTTAAAAAAAACTTTCCCCCGATACCAATTATTCCATAGGGACCCATGTGACATATTTTGCAGGCATCAGATAGGGAAGAAAAGTATCAGGTGCACCTGGACTTGAACCCAGAACTTCCCACTCTTACAGTACTCTGTGCCTTCAAACCTAACCACCAGTGCAAACAAGTCAAAGTTATAAAAAAGTAGTATTACATTAAGGGCAAGTGTATCACCACTTTAACAAACTGGACCAAGGCTAGGACAAACTCAGTAAAGTTTGCTTTACCTCAGACTACAATGATGCAATATCATTGGAAAGCAGACATCACATGCCTGCAATCAATATTTCTTTGGACAGCAAGTAGCAAAGTTTGGATGGCTGCATGGCAGATAAAATGACATTATCTCATCCAAATTAATAAACAAAAATTCAAACCAGCCTTTTTTTTTGGCTTTTTTTAATAAAACCAATAAATTGATTTGGAATGTTGCAATTAAATCAAGAACAGTGCCCATTACAGAGACGTTGTCTGTTAACATGATGACAAATTTAGATTTGCACAGAAAAGAAACTTTTTAATTGTAATTCGTCTCTGCAGGTTTGTTAAGAACAATTATTAGGTTTGTTACAGAGTCCACAGAAATATGATGGGTTGCTCAAGTTGACGAGAAACCGAGCCTTCTATGGACTTGAACAACCCATCATATTTTGTCGCTCGTGTGGCGCAGTGGTAATACCGTTTGCTCTAGAATGGAGAGGGACGTTAAACAACAATAAACAAACAAACAAACCCAACATATTTCTATGGACAGTCAGTAACAAACCTGATAAGTAATTGTCTGACGTCATGGCATCAGACAGTACTAGATTTAGCCAAGGCTTGCTGGTCAAGTCGTTCAACAGAATTCGTGTGATAACTTGATCTTAGAAACTTCATACTATCTCAAATATCAATTGGAGAGCATGAGGAGTGAAGGAAACATGCTGAACACCCAAACAAGCCAGAGCACTGGACCTGATGTCATTATTATCACATTATACAGGTTACATAACATTTGGCCATTCTCGAATGCATTATTCATGTCCAGCAAAGCAGAAGGAATAAAGCTGGTCAGGTCAAACACTTGTCCATTATCTTTATCAGATTAACTAATGGCTGTTTATTTTCAATGCATACCAAGTCTCTCTACCTTTAGAATTTTTATAAATCAACACATATTCATAACTTGCAGACGTTTGATTTATTCCTAGTTAAAAAAATATCAAAGGGAAGGATACTCCGATGTTGAATATTCTTTTGCTTAAATGCAAAGATGTTAGCTCATTTGTAACACGTTTATTTAAAAAAATAATCTCTTAGTTAAAATTGTTCACCAATTGATGTTTAGATTTTAATGTGTTGTAACTTTTTCTTTCAAAGCCACTGGTTATATCTTTGTATCCATGAACAGGCCCGTTAAAAGAAATTTCAGAAATTTTCAGTTTAGGGTGGACACTATCAAGAAAAGAAATTCTTATAGAACATAAAAAAAGTTATCAGAAATTAATATTTACATAATTTAGGGGACACGAGCATAAAATAGCCATGTATAATCGACAAAATTATTGTGGGGCACCCCCCCCCCCTCCTCCCGCTTCGTACATCCATAAAAAAAAACGAAATTACAAGTAATACAGTGTAGTACATAGAAGCCACTGACTTGAACTTTTCTTGTTTCTTAGCAAAAGAATTCATTTCATGACTCAGAGTCATGTTGCTTACACATGCAGGATTTAGCTTTTCTTGATTCTTCACATAAAAAAAAATTTGCTCAAGTCAGACAAGCTTTTTAGGAAAGCTAATACTTGTGGTGGTATTGTTGTTGGATACTGGATAAGGAAGCTATTTTAGCAATAAAATATTAACTAAATGCAGCACAACTATTGACCAACATTGTAACAACTCATATCGAAAAGTATGCCTTATATTTTTCTCTAAATTTTTGTTGTGGATTATGAATTACGTGACAAAACAGAAAAGTGAACTGAGAAGGGGGGGGGGGTTAAATGTTACCGATGAAAAAACGTTACATGTAATAACACTCATTGGTAAATACTTGCTCACACAAAAATATAAAATCAAACCCTAACAATGAAGAGATTTAACATTTTCTTTGTTTGTAAACGACTCCAAGTCGGTTTATGAAAAACCGGCCAACAATTGAGAAACACGTGGCAGTTTTCATTGGTTGCTTCTCACTACAAAATTGGACACGAATAAATTACTCTTAAAACATATTCAAAGGAGTCAAATTAAAATAAATGAAATATATCAGTCGACTAAAACTCTTGTTAATATGTTTGCATGCAAAGTTTCATGCATAATCCTTTGCAAGCTACCGGCTTCCACTCACCCTTCGCCATTTTTCTGAGGTGTAGCGTCGGCAATTGTAAGTTATGTGCCCTTGATTTCTATTGTTCCCACTTGGCGCTGTCGCTACAGACTGTGGCGCGGATCAAAAGCAGTGCTGTAACTTAAACTATCGTGTAATTTATAGTATTCGCAAATAAAGTTCTTCTAGATAATATAATCAGATATTATATCTGATTATATTTAGAAGAACCAGGGACCCATATACTAACGGGATAGGTAACTGGAACAACAGTAGATAATGAGGACTATCAGGGGGTCGGGGCCGGGTGGGGTCGTGGGTTATAACAATTTCATATAGCCCTCCACCCCACCGCGGCCATCTACCGCACTCCCTGTTCAAAGCAAGTGTACATTTTTTTTCTTTTACACATTTAAAAGGTCAGTGGCGTAGCGTGACCCAAATGTGTAGGCATGAAACTGAAGTCGAAGGCTACACTGAGGCACGACAGCGCCGAAACGGGCCGGCGGGTAGGTACGGGAAGGGGGTCTTTTCTCGCAAGGAGGCCTACTTCGATATTTTTTTCCCGAGACACTTAGGTGCCTGTTTACCCTTCTGACACATAAGCGTCGGAAGCAAATCAAAAGTGGGGGGGGGTAACTGAAAGACAAAAAAAATTCAAACCTGAAAAAAACTTACACCCCCCCCCCCCCAAATAATAATAATAAAAAGGAAAATTGAAAATTGTCCAAACCCAAAAATCCTATTGGGGGGGGGGGGATCGAACTTCTTTCAGTACCAATTCTTTGTTTAAAAAACAGGGGGGGGGGGGGGGGAGGGGGCGGTTCCGACTCCTATGTGACAGTGCTCAGAATATTGCTAGTTAAAACAAAATATACATGCTTGTTATGAGGCATAATATTATTTTGGGAAACCGCGCATTATATAATCACCGATAATTAAACAACGTCAGATTTTGGCGCCCCCACTTATTCTGAGTATAGTATTTTGCTATAGTAAATTTTCCTTTAGATGGTGCCCCCCCCCCCCCCCCCCACTTTTTGTTGCTGTAAGGTCTAGCACAGATTTGAGCGTTTAATTAGGTTTTTTGGCTAATCAGATTAATTTTCAGAAATTGCCCCTCCCCCCTTTTTGGTCAGTTGAGTTTTGTTTTGGCTTCTTTTTTTGTGCTTGTCAGATTTTTTTTTTTTTAGAACCCCCCTTTTTTTTAAACCGATTTACGTGCTTGAAAAGAAATTAGAAATTCGTATGATAATTTGAATGAAATATTCCATCAAGATTAAAAGCTGAACTATCTCTAGTTTATTGTCTTTTAACTATTTTTCCCAACGAGAAATTATAAGATTTGCTGTTCAATGAGGACAGTAAATGGAAATAGGGAATGAAGGCAAAATTTCCTGTACACTTCACTTTATTGAAACTCTTGTGATGTCAAGATCATTATGACGTCACAATTTCTAAAGGTGTTGGCAAGGAATGTCAGAGCCTTGTTGTGCTTATGTGACAGCATATTATTAATTGGTAGAAATATTTTCCGAAACGGGATAAATATTTGTGATCAGGTAAGTAATTTAATAAAATTGTTGAATATAGTTTACATTTACATCTATTTGAATATATTGCAATTTTCATTTTAATGTAATTGATTTTGGTCTGAAAAGGATAGCTTGGAAATGTGAATTTTTGAGCGTATTTGTCTTTGCTGGTACGCAGAAAAAAAAAATAGATGAAATAGAACTTGTTCAATAGAGAAATAAAGAAGCTAAAAGTGTTTTTCTATGTCCTTTGCCATCAATATTTGATCAACTGTGTTTATAGATATATTGTGCACTAAATTACAAACAGATTCATGATTATTTCTAGCATTATTATAATATTCATTTGCTTATTTATCAATAGACTTTGAATTGGGGAAATTGGTAAGTTAGGCATTATTAACAGCGAAATTTCGACCCAGTGTTGCAACGGGGGTTCAGTAATTCACTAAGTGAATGGCCTCTGAATTACCCGTAAGTTTACCAAATTACTAATTTACATACATTTAGAAGATATAGATCACATTTCGTCATAATTATTTAACGTCACAAAATCAATTATGACGTCAGTATGTTTGACGTTTTTTGACAACGAATGGCGGCCCATTGTTGTCCTATTTCATATCCAGAAAAACTATGATAAGTGACCAGGTTAGTTATAAAACCAATCACAGACCAAATATGTTCTCTGAATATTGGTGGGCTTAGAGTCTTAATTTTGTTAAATGGTTTTCGAATATCATTGTAAATTTAAGCCTAAACCATGATAAATTTTACCAGGTACTTATATTGTCATATATATCTATGATCACTCTCAAAATTTACACTCATCAGTCAAACACGAGATTTCTCTCTTTTTTAATCGTTCATATACCCAAACTAGGTGTTGCATGAAATAATAAAAAGCAATGAAAAAAATTGTCGAAAAATCCTTCGACATTATTACTGTATTGTTAATTTAGATTCGTATGAAAAAGAACAATCATATAAGAAAATGTCAATGAAAATATTTCATCCAGTCTGTTTTTCAAAACTTTTTTAAAAAATAAAAATATATCAGCAAATATGTTAATTTACACCTTATTTTCAATACCATAATGTAAAACAAAAATGGACTTCATTTTATTAATTGACATTGCATTGTAGTGCAGTGCACTAAAATGCAGTTAAATTCTTATTATGGTAAACAGTGTAAATTCTCTTGCAAACAAAAAAATCAACTCATCAGTCAAAAAGGAGTGTTCACTTCTTTTGGATCTTTTACGCATACTCAAACTAGTCATTCGATAAAAAAAAACAACCCAGTAATACATAACTTTGCGAAAGTCCTTCGACTTAATTACTGATTGTTAATTTTGATTCATATCAAAGAAAACAAATATTTAAGAATATGAGAATAAAAGAAATGCTCTCTAGTCTGTTTTTGAAACCTCTTTTTTTCAAAGCATAAGATGAAAAAAAAGTGTGTGTATTCAATCAGTTTTTAAATTCAATTAAGAAAAAAATTGACTAAGTTAATTTTGATTGGACAATTTGGCAGGCATCACAATGTATCGCATTGTATTGCAGCAGAGTGCAGCATGGTGCAATTCTACTTTTATTTAAACAAGCACAATTATTTTACTTGTCAATGCATTAGAAAATATTCCCCACCATCCACCCTCCAAAGACAGCTTTTATATACAATTTGTCCTTGTGATTGAATGTTTGTTTGGAAATTTGCATAATGTAAGTTTTGTTTCAAAGTTCGATAACTCAAATTATGTTCCTTTGAACAATGTAGACAAAACGATCATTCATTTCTACTTTATATTATGTAAATGTTTAAGCAATGCTAACGAGTAACAGGCTTGTATACTATATATAAGACGTTAGAGAGACATTCACAAATGACCATGTGTTAAAGTCTGAGTAAATAACGGTTACGGGAAATGTCGCGTGTAAAGGACTTAGTGTGAGCTTATCTCACTAAACAAGTACTGCTATGCAGTATTGAAAAGCGTCTTTGATTGTTCTACAAAGTCATCGGCGCTTTGTTTGCGTCTCAAAATATTTACTCATCTGTCAAACAGGAAAGTTTATATTTTTTCACCGTTTTGCCTAATAATAAAAATTGACCAAGTATGTTTTAATTAGACAGTACATCAAGCATTACAATGAAATGTATTGTAGGACAGTTATATTTTTATTTAAAAGCAAAATTATTTAGCTTGCAATTAAAGAACTTCACTCGACACTCCAATTTTCCTCGGGATGTTTCGCATATATCCATATCAGTCTTTCAATAAAAAAAAAAAACAGCAAAAGTAACTGTTCTTTGATGAAAACTTAGCTCTAAGTACTGTTATCAGAATATATTCTGTTAATCCTTCCTGGTGCTTATCTGCATCACTCTCAAAATTTGCATTCATCAGTCAAACACGAGATTTCTCTCTTTTTTAATCTTTCATATACCCAAACTAGGTGTTGCATGAAATAATAAAAAGCAATGAACAAAATTGTTGAAAAATCCTTCGACATTATTACTGTATTGTTAATTTAGATTCGTATGAAAAAGAACAATCATATAAGAAAATGTCAATGAAAATATTTCATCCAGTCTGTTTTTCAAAACTTTTTTAAAAAATAAAAATATATCAGCAAATATGTTAATTTACACCTTATTTTCAATACCATAATGTAAAACAAAAATGGACTTCATTTTATTAATTGACATTGCATTGTAGTGCAGTGCACTAAAATGCAGTTAAATTCTTATTATGGTAAACAGTGTAAATTCTCTTGCAAACAAAAAAATCAACTCATCAGTCAAAAAGGAGTGTTCACTTCTTTTGGATCTTTTACGCATACTCAAACTAGTCATTCGATAAAAAAAAAAACCCAGTAATACATAACTTTGCGAAAGTCCTTCGACTTAATTACTGATTGTTAATTTTGATTCATATCAAAGAAAACAAATATTTAAGAATATGAGAATAAAAGAAATGCTCTCTAGTCTGTTTTTGAAACCTCTTTTTTTTCAAAGCATAAGATGAAAAAAAAAGTGTGTGTATTCAATCAGTTTTTAAATTCAATTAAGAAAAAAATTGACTAAGTTAATTTTGATTGGACAATTTGGCAGGCATCACAATGTATCGCATTGTATTGCAGCAGAGTGCAGCATGGTGCAATTCTACTTTTATTTAAACAAGCACAATTATTTTACTTGTCAATGCATTAGAAAATATTCCCCACCATCCACCCTCCAAAGACAGCTTTTATATACAATTTGTCCTTGTGATTGAATGTTTGTTTGGAAATTTGCATAATGTAAGTTTTGTTTCAAAGTTCGATAACTCAAATTATGTTCCTTTGAACAATGTAGACAAAACGATCATTCATTTCTACTTTATATTATGTAAATGTTTAAGCAATTCTAACGAGTAACAGGCTTGTATACTATATATAAGACGTTAGAGAGACATTCACAAATGACCATGTGTTAAAGTCTGAGTAAATAACGGTTACCGGAAATG